ATCCCGGGACTCCAGGATCATGACCTGAGCCGAAGGCAGTCGCTTAACCAACTGAGCCACCCAGGCGCCCTCTTCAATTTCTTAATATTATTTTTTAAAGTTTTAGGGAATTGTTAATTCTGGTCACAGTCAAATCACACACTTTTTTTTTTTTTAAGTTTAAAGCTTTGAAGTCATTTCTAGCTTCTTGTTCCTCCTTGATCCATAATAGCTCTTGGCTGTATGTTTTTTTCTGTTCTCTTTAGCATTATCCTAAGGTTGGTTATCATTGCTCACTCCAAAACTATTTTAATAGCTCCTAAGTTTACAACCTATTTCTAGCTTCTCAAATCCATCCTTTCTTTAAATTGCTGTTCAAAATTCAAAAATACTTTATTAGTCCAACTAGATTGAAAGCAATCTACCTTATACTAAGGGAATAAGAGAGAGGGATACAACAAATTGAAATGAAGCAGTAAAATAATCATTAATGAGGTTATATGCTTAGAAATTCCAAAAGAATTTACTGAAGGATTGTTAGAATTAACAAGAGTTTTCAATAATGATAGCTACAAAAGTAAGTTAAAAATGAGTAGATTCGCTGTAGTTCATAAGAACTGTTGTTACAAACTTTCATCTTCAATCCAAGGCAAGTGGCTTCTACTCATGAAAAATAGAATATCCATACTTGGCCCACTACCCCTAAAACCCTCCATCTTTTTTTTTCTTTTTTTTTATTATGTTAATCACCATACATTACATCATTAGTTTTTGATGTAGTGTTCCATGATTCATTGTTTGCATATAACACCCAGTGTCTCCATTCAGTACGTGCCCTCTTTAATACCCATCACTGGGCTAACCCCCCTCCCCTCTAGAACCCTCAGTTTGTTTCTCAGAGTCCATAGTCTCTCATGAAAACCCTCCATCTTAAAGCAGTGTAGTCCACTAGCCTCATAAGGGCAGTCTTTAACCCCACATCCAAGTGTTTTTCCATCATGAAGCCAACAGGATCCTGAGTTCTACTTCAGAAGAGTGTTTTTGCTTAACATTTAAAAAAAAATAGACTCTTTAGAGTGTTTTATTGTTGTTGTTGTTGTTTTTCAGAATGAAGAAGGTCTATCCTTAAGATTTTCTGATTCTCTCTGTCAGAACTAACAATTGCATATGGTCCTCAAGGACAGCATTTTGATTTTCAGTTTTATTTGTCACAATTTCAGTGAAATGAGGTTCTGTATTTCATTCCAGGTAAAATGCTTCCAGAGGCTCCTTACAGTGAGTCAGCAAAAACATGTATGGGTCCCATAAATTCGGTATTCTTTCTGTATAGAATAGTGGAATCTTCTCTATGAAATCCAGAATGGAATTTTGATCTGAGTCACAAGGACATTCTTACTAGAACCAAGAAATTCTGAAGGAAAACAAATGAAGCGTTCTTCCATTGTTCTTAGAATATTTGAAAATTTTCATTTAGATATACAGTAGAATGCTGTGGGCAGTCCCAAAAAATGACCCATTTTTTGATGGGTTTTCTAGTCTCTCCTAACTATAGGAAAACATTTACAACCAGGCACTTCTAGGATGTTGACATAATGTATTCTGATGATTGTGAATGTCTCTAAATATTATTTCACATGTGGATAACAGAGTTTCACTGTTTATTTATATCGCCATTTCTTTTGGAAGTAGGGTATTTTGTACCTGTGGACCATGCTTGATAATCATGTGAACTTATTTTCTCTCTACTCTATAGTATAATAAAACTTCAGTTCATTTCTTTGTCATAAACAATGCACTGTCATGGTTATAATGAGATTTATTCCAGTTTGAGCAAACTGTTATTATATTTTGAAACATTTACATATGTTATACTTTACATAGAGTGAACTTCAGAGCAGAGAGAGAACAAGAAACCAGTCTTTTTTAAATATGTTAGAAAAAGAAAAGTACAGAATTGTGAAAGATAACCTTCACTTATGTTATTTTTGTTCCAATGTCTTATATAGAAAATGTTTATAAATATGACCAAATAGGCAGAATCCCCAAGGCTAAAGGTTTTTATAGGTATTATCACAGAATTATAAACATGATTATATAGTTTAAATACTGTTTCAAATTAAGACGACAATACAGTGTTTCACAGTTAAAGCTCCTGCTTTGGCCATTTATGAATGATTTAATAACTTCTACAACCAATTACACAGGGCTCCCAAATTCACAAAGTGTAAACCTGAGTATTATCCCATGTGAGTGAAACTGTCTTTCTTTCCACCTAGAATTTTTTCTGCTTACATTTTTGCATCATAATTTACAATGCGGGAACTTTAGTTTCCTATTTTTCCTTTGAGATATGAGAATCTTTCCTCTAATGTACTTCAGTTTTCAATATAAGACCTCAGTAGGGATTAAATATGGGATTCTGCTTTTATAAAATACATTACTCTAGAGTTACAGTACAGTAAAAAATGAGCATTTTCAAGATGCATTTCCTGTGAAGGATAAGTACACATGCATCTCTGGCATATGGATGGTGTTTGGAGGCTCACATTGTCACTGTCAAACAGCGTATTTTAGCTTTTCCTGGCCGATTCTATGCTATCTTCATAATCTCCTTATATTCATACCTTTAAAAATTCTGAATGAAGCCAAAGCCATCAAATAATAGAGCATCACTGTAGAAGTATTTCTAAGGTGGCCCACATCCTTTCACTGTGAGGGAGAAGGAGTTAGAATATACAGTTTCCCTTCAGCCTTCAACTCTGCCATGAGGATTTCTAAGCTCTGGGGTTTACTATTTTGTTATTGAAATGTGTCCTTTGTCTACTACTTGCAATAATGAGGAGCTAATTCCCAGAGTCAAGTATGTATTTCAGCATTTCACAAAATGCTGCTGATGTGTGGGGGAGGTGTGTCAAACCGAAAACATTTCCAATTTATTTTTCTTATTATTACATTTTTCTTTCAAAAGATTTAATTCAATTAATCCTGGTGCTGTAGAGGCACATTTCTCAAAATAGAACAAAGATATTTCTCTCATTGGACTGGGAAAAGGCATACATTTTGGATTATTTTAATTTTAAAGGCTGACTGTGATAAGATTAATACAGTAACTCAAATTTATTTAACTTCTGAATTTCAGACTGTATTTTCCAATTTATTCAACCCATTGTTCCTGTGTATATTTAAGTATATCCTTATATCATTTTAATCATTATGCTCATGTATGCATATATATAGGCTATCTGCTTATTAAGGTATAAATTTAGCAGTGTTTGAATCCAAGATTAGAGATACATTTAGGGGCTTAAAAAGGAAATAAGAAATTGACACTCTTTGAAGGAAGTTGATAGTAATGTAAATGTCAACACAGGACAGTCTTGATCAAAGAGGCAAAGGCCGTGTTCGCTTATGAGTATTTTCTGTTTGCTTTGATGTTGACAGTTAT